TTATAATAAAGAATGGTGTAAATTAACAGTATAATTAACAGCCTATAAGACAATATCACTATCATTAGAGAAAGTAACAGCAAATGGCCAAACCATTAGTGGACATTTTTGCATTCACCTGTGAGAGATCTGGTTTCTTCCTTGAAGGGATGAAAAGGAAGAGGAGGGGTACTTGGTCCTAGAACCTTGGAGAGGACGGGCTGCAGGGCTGGGAATGTTGGAGGAAGCTGGAGATTGGAGCTGGAGAGCTGCTAGGAGAAGGAAAACAGAAACTCTCTTATCCCTCCTCCTTAGTATCTCCTATTAGTAGACTCTACCAGGAAGCCAGCTAGTGAGAGAGTTTGAAATTTGGTTTTCGGAGCCCAAGTTAGCATCACATACAGAGTACAGAAGGGTGGACTTACAACTGGGAGGCAATAGATAAATAACTGGCACAATAATAGCCTTTTGTGTGAATAAATCATCTTGTTTTAGTAGGAGCCCCTGCAGGCTGGGGTAGCCTCTGAATCCTCTGGACTAGATCCCATTAAGATTTGATAGCTTCCTTTCTCTCTGGCATAAAACATTCCAGGTTCATCTTGTACATTTTATGCCCCAGACCTCAAGTCAGCTATTTCTGCAACAATCCTGGGTTCTTTTTATAAATCAGGGAATGGTAATTAGAGACCAAAATCTGGGACTTGTGTGTCCTTTTCTAAAACCATCATTTTCAGTAGGTATATTTGGCTACAATCCATATTATCTACGTTTATAATTGTAATCTATTACCAGTTCAAGTTTTTTTAAAATATATATTTTATTGATTTTTTTACAGAGAGGAAGGGAGAGGGATAGAGAGCTAGAAACATTGATGAGAGAGAAAGACTGATCAGCTGCCTCCTGCATACCTCCCACTGGTATTATGCCCCCGACTGGAATCGAACCTGGGACTCTGCAGGCCGACGCTCTATCCACTGAGCCAAACCGGCAAGGGCACCAGTTCAAGTTTTGATGGGGAGGGATATTTTGCTATCAGTCTTTTGTGGAAAGAGTTGATTCCAGGCTATTTTACCCTGACCCTAGGATGTGTTTGTATTGATTTTAGAGAGAGAGAGAGGAAGGGAGAGAGAGAAACATTGATGTGAAAGAGAAACATCAATTGGTTGCCTCCAGTACTTGCCCCAACCAGGGATTGAACCCAGAACCTAGGTATGTGCCCTGACTGGGATCCAAACCAGCAACCTTTTATTTTTTTTTGGTAGAAGGGACAGTGCTCCAACCAACTGAGCCATCCAGCCAGGACCCAGGTTATTTTAAATTTCTCTCATCGTTGTGCTTGTTTTCACTGATTTCATGCTTAGACTTCAAGCTTCTGGTTTTTAAACTCTAAGGCATATTCCAAATTGACAATGTAAATTGCAAGTTACTGTTTGCAAAAAGGTACATTAGGAGTGACACTAAAATCAATCAAACAGACAAAAAAATAAGTTTCGGTATATTTGTGTTATCAGCTGCTCACTACTGTGGGAAATGGATGTAAGCTGAGGAAATAAACCATTAAGCAAATTTGTGGCAGGAATGTGAATTGTGAAAGAGCTGTGGATTTTCTATGTAATTAAATGGTGGGAAAACTGGTGCATATAGTAAAAACCTCCCTAAAATGTAGCTGTGCCTCAGAATCACTCAGAGAAATCCTTGCTCAAGCTCAGAAATCCTTTGGATCACCACCGGCCACATGGGAACCCAGTGACATTATAATAATCTTTCTTCCCTTGTAGACTCTACTCAGTTTAATGCAGCTTTAGATTATACCCTAATAACTGAAAGCACCTAATTATCCAATGGCTTCCCTGCACATAAAAGCTATATGCATCATAATTTCAAATGTGAAAAACTCCATAATATTGGTCAACTGGGAAAATGATATTCAGATAATTGTGCTTTGGCATGCCTATGAAAAAAAGCTTTTAAGAGCTCAAAGATTTGAAAACATGCTTCCAAAATCTTTGAGTAAAGTGAATGTTTCAGGAAAATGTACATATTTATCTGCGTTTTAAGAAGCCCTCCAAACCTTAGAACTTTATTTGAAAACATATCGGAGGAATAGGGATTCTGAATAATGCTGCCTGCTACTGTCCCGGTTCTAATCAGAAGGGGACATTCACAAGGAGCTAGATGGAGAAATGAAATATCACATTTATTACTAAGACCAAAGACCTGTCAAGTCCAAAGAATGGGGTTCCCTGGTAAAACCAGACTGGAGAACACAGCTCAGATTTGATGTCTTCTGTTACCTTCAATATCCAGGTCTTGAACCATCCATTGATAGCATTGGGTGGCAAAGCAGCTTCGGAATAATCTCACCCCTTCACAGAAGGGGGGCAGATAGGACCCTGGGGCCTGATCTGGGAGTGCTGACTGCTGGGAAGCAGAGAAGAAGCCTGACTTTCTTACCTCAGAGCTCTGTGGGGGCCACTGAACCAGGAGAGTGGGTGGAGCCCCTGTCCTTGCTTGTGAGGCACACTGAGTCCATCCATGGGAGGGCAAACCCTCAGGAATCTGACCAATCAGATTAGTTACTTTTGCCCTGTAGGGAGGAGTGAGGACAGGTTGCAGTTAGAGGTTGAAACTACCACTTTCGGGGTCTTCCCAAGGGGGTGGCCATTTTGACAGATGCTCTTCTTTGGAAATCTGAGGACAGGGGATACATCATCTTCTCCTTTGAGAAGTTGGGATAATGAATTACAATGCCTTTATGGGTTAGGAGGCTGTTATAAACAAATGAAGGGACCAGATAGGAAGTGAGGCACCAGGAGACACATACCCTGTCCAAACCCCTCAGGGCCCATCAGATCCAGCTATATATGGGGTTAGTGTTGTTGGACCTTCTAATCTTTCAGGAGAAGCCAGAAGGTTTTTTTTGTTATCATTTTATTTGTTGTTTTGTTTTTTATTTTTTTTATTGAAGGTTGTTTTTTTTTAAATAAAAAATTTTCCAATTTAGAAATTTTGGCCAGTAATTCAACTTTTAAAAAACTGCCACGAACTCTGGCCAGGTGGTTCAGTTGGTTGGGGCATCATCCTGTACACCAAAAGGTTGGAGGTTTGATCTATGGTTAGGGTGTGTATGGGAGGCAACTGGTTGATGTTTTCTCTCTCATATCGATGTCTCTCTCTCTCTTTCTCCCCTTCTCTCTCTAAAATCAATAAAAATAAACATATCATTGGGTGAGGATAAAAAAATGCCATGAAGGCTAAGCAGAACTTCTCTATGAGCTGTTTGTTTTTTTTTTTCCAACACATCATTATCTCTTTAATTATACCTTATTATGCCATGCCTTTTTAAGCACATCACTCAGGTTTTTGAAGACAGTTAAGAAAACGTTTTGGGTAGGGTCCTCCAGTGTATCAAGGCATAAGAAATGTCTTCAGACTCTTGGATCCCTGTAGACATAGCTCGCACAGCTAGTGTCCGATGATTAAACTTTCCCCACATGTCCATATTCCAGAATAATGAGATCAGTAGATCCAGGCAAGCTGCATTGTAGCCTCTAGCTCAGCCGTGGGCAAACTACAGCCCACGGGCCGGATCCGGCCCGTTTGAAATGAATAAAACTAAAAGAAAAAAAGACCGTACCCTTTTATGTAATGATGTTTACTTTGAATTTATATTAGTTCACACAAACACTCCATCCATGCTTTTGTTCCGGCCCTCCGGTCCAGTTTAAGAACCCATTGTGGCCCTCGAGTCAAAAAGTTTGCCCACCCCTGCTAGCTGCTGTATCAATTGTTTGTCCATGTGGCGACAGAACAGGGGAAGGAGGTTGGTGGGGAAGGCTAGGGGTTCAGCCAAAGAGGCTGTAGGCATCTGAGCTATTTCCCAGGCGATCAAAATCACTGTGTCTGTCCAAGCTGTATGGTCACTGCTGGGTTCCTCCAGGGATGGATCCAGGGATACCAGCTGTGCCCCATGACTCAGCAGGGTGTAGAGCAAAGATATTCCAAACTGATTCTGAAGCACCACAGTGACTGGCCTCTCTGAGGAGCCAGGTGGAAGCAGCATTAGTCCCTGAAGTCCTTGGAGGAGTTCTTGGAGGGTCAAGTGTCTGATATATTTGCCCAGAGGCTTGAATAACATTTGTAGGACCTGATCAGCTGCATCCCTCTTGACCAGGAGTGGCAGATGGTGGTTGATAGCCAGAAGAAGGCTGACAGCTAGATCCCTGGGCAGGAAGGGGAGCAGCCGGGCCACTAGGGCTTTCCCCTTCCTCACAGAGAGCACCTGCAGGAAGCCATCTGCTGCCTCCTCCAGATTATCCTGCTCCTGGGTCTTTAAGGCCTGGAAGAGCTTCTCAACCTGGTTTTTCTGCTGCTCAGAGTAGCAGGACTGTGGAGGCCCATTCTTCTGGCCCTCCTCTATCTCTAGTAACTGAAGAAACATCTTCTCAATCCAGGACAACACCCGAAGCCTCTGGCTGCTTGCAGCTCCTATCTCCGGTTCTGGACTTGGCCCAGGAGCCACCAGTTTGTGATGTCTGGTTTGCAGCATCATCAGCTGAGACAATGAAGTATCTTTTCTTTTTACCCTAGTTAGGCTGGTGAAATTTGCCATACCGCCATGGATTAGAATAAGAAAAAGGATACTCCTGAATGTATTGTGTATTAGTATTTCCTGGACTCTCTTCCATCTCTCTGCCCTCCCTCTGGCTCAAGATAGTCCTGGCCTCCTTTTCTAGCTCTGCTACTTCCCTCTTCATTTTTACATCATGTGGTCCTGACACCACAGCATCGACCCACTGACTCTGGCTGAAGCCTGCTGTCAGTCTGATCAGCAAGTGGAGGAACCGGGAGTTGCTGTCCTCGACGGATGAGACAGGGAGCCCCATTTTTAGACCAGAGAGGCCAAACCTTCATCCTCTGTCAATACAAATATCGCTTGGTATTCTGCAAGGGCTGGAGCCAAGTGCATGGCACATCTCTGGACAGAACCATCTTTAGCGTGTCAGTGCCTCTGTGAGGCTGGTGATGGCCTTGAAATGCTAAGTGCAATTACAGGGATTCCTGCTTAAGTCCATCTGACAGTTTGCATCTGACTCAGAGTACTCTGGGCAGATAAATGTCAGACATTCATTCATCATTCAACAAACATTTATTGAGTTCCCGCTATTAGCCAAGGACTGTTAAGGCAGTGAGCATTCAGCATTACCCAAGATGAACTTGGTCCCTGCCTTCGTGGAGCTTACATTTTAGTCAGGGAGTCAGGAAAGCAAACACACAAATAAAAGATGATTCAGCTGGTGTTGATGCCATAAGGAAACTAAAACAAGATTATGTAGTAGTGACTGAGGTAGGGTCTCCCTTGACTGGTGTGGCTGAAGACCTCAGCCATGCCAGTCAAACCTCAGCCACGCCAATCAAAGGAGACCCTAGGGAGGTCGGTCACATTTTAGCTGATGCCTGAATCACATATACCTTGTTTTTCCATATATACTTATTAAGTGTCCATATATTTCTATTTACTAGATCCTTAGTCCTAGAGTTAATGAAGAAATATGATTAAGGCCTAAAAGTGGCATATACCAAAGTATTAATGATTATCTACTAGTGATGAGATTCATGAATTCACGTAATTTAAGAAGCCATTATTGAGCGCCTAATATGATCCCGTACTTAGTTCTGGGAATGCAGTCATAAACAAAAAAGATTAAAATTTGAAGATTATTCTGAGGGAAATGATACGCTGGGAAAAGCACTAATTTATAATGGTCAGCCAGGTCAACTTAGACTGAGACTGAATAATGAGAAGGATTCAGTCATGTGAATGGGGATAAGGATTGGGAGGAGCATGTGAAAAAGCCCTGGGGCAGAAAAAGGATTTGTTATATTTGGAGAACAGAAAAAAAATTAGAATATAGTAAAGGGGTCAAGAGATAAAACTGGAGCGATTTTGAAGATCTGAATTAGGTAAGCCCTGGACTCACAGAGAGGAATTTGGATTTTTGGGGAAGAGTAATGAGAAATTACTGAGGGTTTTAAGTTGGAGAGTGATATGAATTGACATACATTTTTAAAAAGCTCACTCTTGGTTGTTGGTTGGAAAATGGATTGTTAGGGACAGAGTAGAAGCAGAGGTCCTGTTAGGAAGCTGTTGTATTCATTCTGGTACGAGACATTGGTAACTTGGACGAGGGAATCAGAACTGATGTTATGGCCCTATAAGTTGATTATTGTACAACTCCAGAGCATACTGTTCACTTATATAATATACACAGTACTTCTTTCCTGGAGGTAAGCGGTGGAGTGGCCCCAAGTCTGGGGCAGTAGTAGCAGAAGAGAGAGGTAGAGAGAAACAGTTGGATTTAGGATGTGCTAATAGATAAGACTGGGGGAGGGGAAAGAGGGAGAGGACACTTAAGGATGACTCCTAGGTTTCTGATCAGATAACTTCAGGGCTGTTGGTGCCATTTTCTTAAACGGGGGAAAAAATAGATATGAAACAATTTGGGGTGAGAAAAGAGCAAGAGATTAAAAAAAATTTGTTAAGGGTAAGATGTTGGGAGATATCCAAGGAAGATAGCAGTAGATAACTGGATATACAAGTCTGGAATTCAGAGTGGAAGTCTAGGCCAGATACAGAACTTCAGAATCATCAGGATAAAGGTGATATTTAAAGCCATGGGTATATAGAGAGAAAAGAAGGGGTCCTGAGCCTGTGACCTGAGGAATTTGATAGGTGGGTAAGAAGAAGAGGAAGAGCTGGCTAAGAAGCTGGCGGAGGAGCCCCATGAACTAGGAGGAAGTCAGAAGAGTGCAGCATCAGAGAAAGAACTTGGATGGTTTTTGTCCTAAGGAGTTGTTTTTAATTAAAGTAATAAATACAAACATGCAATTTTTTGTCTCTTGTGATACAGTTGCATGTACATTACTTCTATATGCACGGTGGGGGTTGAGCTAATTTCACACTACAAGTTGCCCAGTTACCCAGGTGAGCATTGGTAAGATGTGATTCAGGGGTGCATGGGGCCTAATACTCTAAGTTCACGCTTAGGTAAAATCAGCACAGCTGAGGTCTGCTTGTTGCAGGGCAATGGTCTCCTATGGGGCAATTTTGTCCCCTGGCGATAGTTACTGTTACCGGTGCCCTGGTTTCTTGTGATCCCCCCCAGGATAGAAATCAAAAGAGATCACCAGAAACCGATACAGAGAAAGAAGGTTTATTTAGCTTGTGTACAAGGAAGCCAGCAACATAAAGGGAGAGAAAACAAGCTACTACTTAAACATAGGCTGGGGAGAATTTTAAAGAGACTTAGGCAGAAATATTGACATCCAAGTATGTAGAGGCGGGGCTTTTTGGCACTTGCGTAGTGGAACTACATGCTTTTTCTTGTGTCATGTCTCATTAGCATGTTAAATCTCCACCCAGGGGTGTGCTTGTTAGTATTTAAAGGAAGGAAGGTCACCAGAAGGACAATCTTCCTTGTTAGCTTGCATGGTGAGCAAAGGGAAAGACCCTAAGCCAGTGATGGCAAACCTTTTGAGCTCAGCGTGTCAGTATTTTGAAAAACCCTAACTTAACTCTGATGCCATGTCACATATAGAAATTTTTTGATATTTGCAACCATATTAAAACAAAGATTTATATTTTTGATATTTATTTTATATATTTAAATGCCATTTAACAAAGAAAAATCAACCACAAAAATGAGTTCGCGTGTCACCTCTGACATGCATGTCATAGGTTCGCCATCACTGCCCTAAGCCCTCTGAAGTAAATCTTGTAAACAGCAGTGTCCTTTAGTCTAGTTGCTGATTGGCTGTTTGGCCTCAGGAGTAGGGAAAGTACTAGGGGCAGTTAAGCAAATCTTGGCTTCCTGACAGCAGAGCCCAGGGAGTAGCCTGCCTATCTCATTACAGAGGAGTTGTTGTGGTGGGGATGCTATTGGCATCTAATGGGTGGAAGCCAGGGATTCTGCTAACCATCCTGCAAGGCTCAGGACAGCCCTCTGACACACAATGGTCCAGCCCAAAATGTCAATAGTGCTGAGGTTGGGAAACCCTGTTGTGGTAAGTACAGAGTTAAGTTACTTGTTGAGATTTCATTGTTCCTTCTGGAAGAAGGGGGAAAAGAGAAACCTGCAAACCAAAGGTTTAGCTGCCCCCATTTCCTGTGAGCATCTATGCCCAAACACGGGGGATTTATTGAAAATATTTCCTGGCTCATGTATCACACATAGACATCTCCAGGCTTTCAGAGATGTCATCCATAGAAACATTTCTGTATGCTTGGATATACAGTATTTTTATTTTTTCTGGAGAGGGATAGAGATGGAGTCTTTGTTTTGAAAGGTAATTATAAAGACAAAAACACCAATGCTTCATTTTGTTTCAATTATTCAGGATTCCTAAAACTTATCCTCTCTCACTCTCAAATAATGCAGTTCTTCTCATCTATTCTTTTGGAAATTGATTAAGTTTTCCCATTACTTATGTAAAAAAGGGCTTGGTGCCTGAAGGGAAATAAGGTAACCAAACTAATATTGGTCTCTCATATAGATTCAAGATGGCATTTCTATATTGCCCAAGATTTCTCCCTAATCAGAAGTGTGTCTCTGGGTAGAAGGCGAAGGGCAATTATAGAAGAGAGAGAATTAGGTGTAAGTCAGAATTTTAAATCCTTAAGAAAGTTTAGAAATCATCAAATCTGACCTCTTTGCAACCAGATGCTTTAAACTTTAAGAGAATCACAACTGGTCTCATACTCTCCTCCAACTTTGGAAGATTACCAAAGATTGCATGAAAATCTTGAATAGAACTTTCCGGGTTTGGAGAAGATCAGCTTACTATGGAGGGAGGAGAAAGAGGAAGACAGTGTGACATAAAGAAAGGTTCTAGTGCAGATTATTGAAGACCATGTTAGCATCTAGATTCACATAAGAATTAAGGTAAGGGCACACTGGAGAATTCTTTTCATTCTCCAGAAGACTTGAACTTTAACAATGCCTAGACATAGTAGGCATCAGTAAATATCTATTGAGTGAATGACTCAAGGAAGTTGGTACAAAGGCAAACTTTATTGATTTGTGGGGGGCAGGGAAGAATAGCATGGTCATTGAGGAAGAAGATAAAACCTTTCTTTTTCTTTGCCTAATGAGATATTTCAGAGACGTAAATGGTTAAGAGGGACAGTAATAGGAAATATCAGATGGAGAGATTAACCAAAGAACTTATGTGCATGTATGCATAACCCATGGACACAGACAATAGTGTGGTAAAGGCCTGGTGGGGTGGTGCAGGGTGAAGGGGGTCATGGGGGACCTATGTAATATTTTCCACATGAAAGATCAAGAAGAAAGAAAACATCAGATGACTTGTACTCAGCTTCATGAAACAGAATAACTAAAAAAAAATAGTGGTTTAAATAAGGAGAAAGTATATTTCTTTCATGTGATGAAAAGTTTGGAGATATTTAGGAAATACAACCCTGGTGAGGGGATCCAGAAAAACTGAGGGACCTGGGCTCCTTTTGTCTTTGTTCTTCACCAAGAATTCTTTGCAGATATCTTTGTAAAAATGGGCACAGGATGGCTTTTCTATGTCCAGGCATTGTGTGCT